AATAAAGCTCAGGGGATTATGCTCTCTGACTTCAAGCTCTACTACAAAGCCACAGTAATCAAGACAATTTGGTACTGGCACAAGAACAGACCCATAGACCATTGGAACAGAATAGAGAGCCCAGATATAAACCCAAGCACATATGGTCAATTAATATATAATAAAGGAGCCATAGATTTACAATGGGGGAAATGACAGCCTCTTCAACAGCTGGTGTTGACAAAACTGGACAGCTACATGCAAGAGAATGAAACTGGATTATTGCCTAACCCCATACACAAAAGTAAACTCAAAGTGGATCCAACACCTGAATGTAAGTCATGAAACCATAAAACTCTTAGAAGAAAACATAGGCAAAAATCTCTTGAATATAAACATGAGCAACTTTTTCATGAACACATCTCCTTGGGCAAGGGAAACAAAATAAAAAATGAACACATAGGACTACATCATGCTAAAAAGCTTCTGTATGGCATAGGACACCATTAATAGAACACAAAGAGACATCCTACAGTATGGGAGAATATATTTGTAAATGACATATCTGACAAGAGGTTAACATCCACAATATATAAAGAACTCACATGCCATAACACCCAAAAAGCAAATAACCCTATTAAAAAATGCATGTAGGATATGAAGAGACAATTCTCCAAAGAAGAAATTCAGATGGCCAACAGATACATGAAAAGATGCTCCACATCACTAATCATCAGAGAAATGCAAATAAAACCACAATGAGATATCACCTCACACCAGTAAAGATGGCCTGCATTGAAAAGACTAAGAACAACAAATGCTGGTGAGGATGCAAAAAAAGGGGAGCCCTCCTACACTGGTGGTGGGAATGTAAGCCAGTTCACCATTGTGGAAAGCAATATGGAGGTTACTCAAAAAACTAAAAGCAGAAATACCATTTAACCCGGGAATCCCACTCCTTGGAATTTACCCAAAGAATACAAGTTCTCAGATTCAAAAAGACATATGCACCCCTGCTTATCACAGCACTATTTACAACAGCCAAGATATGGAAGCAACCTAAGTGTACATCATTAGATGAATGGATAAAGAAGAGGTGGTAAATATACACAATGGAATACTATTCAGCCATAAGAAAGAAACAAATCCTACCATTTGCAACAACATGGGTGGAGTTGGAAGATATTATGCTCAGTGAAATAAGCCAGGCAAAGAAAGACAAGTGCCAAATGATTTCCCTCATTTGTGGAGTATAACAATGAAGCATAACTGAAGGAACAAAACAGCAGCAGACTCACAGTCTCCAAGAAGGGACTAGTGGTTACCAAAGGGGAGTGGTGTGGGAGGGTGGATGGGGAGGGATAAGGGGTTGGGGGGGGTATTATGTTTAATACACATTGTGTGGGGGGTCACAGGGAAGACAAGTGTAGCACAGAGAAGGCAAATGGTGAATCTGTGGCATCTTACTATACTGATGGACAGTGACTGCAATGGGGTATGGGTGGGGACTTGATAATATGGGTAAATAGAGTAACCACATTGTTTTTCATGTGACACCTTCAGAAGAGTATCAATAATACATTAATAAATAAAAGGAAAACAAAAAGAAAAAGTAGGTGATAAGAATGAGACTGCAATATATATGAATCACTTGTCATATATTTTCTAAGAATATATGCTTATGCTTATGATTTTATTATAAATGAACATATGAACATAAAAGTAATGTAGTCTTTTTTATTACACCTACTTTGATAGTAGATTACAAATTATATGACTAGCACACATTTATAAGCATCAACAGTGAATTTCTCTATAGAAGCAAATTTGGGGAGATTATACATACCTTTGTGTTAGTATCACAACAGCGTCAATGCTTCATTTTTGAACCACAATGCCTATGTAGTAATATAGTACCTTAAAGATTAGGTACTTAAAGTCTAGCTTTTGGGAAATTAGACCAAATAATATGAAACGTGTATCACTATACCATAAACTCACAGACAGCTAAACTGATGGCATAACACTAACTTTTTATTTAACATCTAGAATGTTATCATTGTTATTTAAAAGCTAAGACAGCAGCTACAATTGAAAACACAGTCAATCAAAAACACTAGTAGGTTGACAAAGTACTCTTTCTCTAAATTAAATTTTCAAATACCTGTATGTGGCTACTAAGAAAAGTGGAACTTTGCAACATTACCATACTTTACATGGCAACCAGACATCTCAGCAGAGCACTGAATTATGCTCCCCAAATTCTCATAAAGCTTTCATTGTCATTTTAAAAATCCCAAAATTTAATAACTCAATATACATTTGGTAAGTAGTCCTTAATCTAAAATACAAGCAAATGAGACTCAAATTTTTATTAATCAAAGAAAGAGTTTCTACAATGGAACAGTTTGCTACCTGTCAAGACCATACTGTTTTAAGGAACTGGCCTTAGTAGTTAATTAAAATCACTTTTATTCACAGCAATCATCCATAATATTGAGTATTTAAATACCTACAAAGTTTTCATATTTCAAACTTCTAAAAATCTTACAGTTTTTATTGGTTTAATTCAATTGTCATTAATATTACTAGTAACTGCTATTTTTGTTTGACACCTATCATGTACTAGTCATTCTCTTAGCCTACTTGCACACTAGCATCACACTAATCCTAAAACAACCATTTTGATATCAATATGTACTTTTCAATGAGAAAATAAGTAATTTGAACAAAGTTAAACAACTGGTGACAGAATCAGGAATTGAATTCAGATATTTTTAGTATGAATAAAACATCAGGTTAGTAGAAATATCACAAAATCAGAATTTGATTTTACCCTACAAAATAAATGAAATATACGAGATGTTATACACACCATAAATTCTGTTTAAACTGATGAGGATTCCTGCAATTGTTTGACAAGTTTACCTTAGCTTTAAAACTTCAAGAAAACAAAGCTTCTATGATTTAATTCAGTTAAGTATTTACCCATTTGTTGACCATCCTCTTCTTAGTATGTCCTAAAAAACACTACTAGCAAATGTATACATTTTAATAATAAAATCATAAGAATATTAATTTTAATGTTTACTTTTCAATTGAACTTTTAATAGCCAGTAAATGAGATTTAAAAAAATGATGAACCTTTTTTTCTTCTTTAACTTGTAACCACTACCTTAAAGTCACCAAACACTTCAGCCCACATTTACCTCTTCCTTCTATAAATGCCTATTCATAATTTCATTCATTAATAGTCTTAACTTCTTTTGTATATCTCAAAGACCCCAGTGGAATGTTGAATATATGGCAATCATTCAAATCTTTGGTCAAGGTTTCTACCGAGGCACTAGAGTTCTCGTGAAGTAACTTCTATGTATGGACCCACTTAAGTCGGCCGTGATTTTACCACACATAAAGTCCCATTAGTAAATTTTGTGACCAAAATTGTTACAATCAGCCTTACTATAGTTACACGGACAGATGTGACACTGACCTCCCAGTTCCAGAGTCTCTCCAGTGGCTCATCTACAATTTATGTCAGTGTTACTTTGTGAAATTACATTCTAAGTTTCACTTAATGGAACGATATGGGTGGATAAAATATAAATAAATGTTAAAACTAGCACCTTGTATATCCCTACATTCTCATTTTAAAAATATTTACATTAATCACTCTCTAAGATGCTGAACAACAGCAGGACTCTAGACTCCCCCCCCATTCGTTCATGTGTATGAGTCATTCCTGCATTGACCATTCATAAATAAAAGACCGTAACCAAATCACTAAAGCACCTATTTTATGAGTCAGTCTCCAGAACATAACTGATATGCTTGCAACATTTCAAGAACGTTCATTTTCTTTCTGGCATGAATCAGTAACTCATATCAGTATCATTAGAAAGCAACAGGTCAACATTTTTGACCCTATATTTTTGATCTACATTGTTCATCATGACCAAGTACAAACATACATAAAGATATCTAAATATATATAGATGTACACACATAGATAACTCAAATTAAAATGATGTAAAACAATATTTACCTTTATGATGACCAATTATTTTCTACTCTATTCTTTTGTTGGTGTTGTTTAATGCTGGCTGTGATCTACTATGGGATTTCAAACAATGGTCTAGATGACTCAAACTCTACCTTTGCCTCTCCAAATTATACATAGAGAAAAACTGTGAGCTACCATAGGGAATTATGGCATGTAGTCAACTGAATTACTGATTCCAATTTTTCACTCCCCTGTAATTGAATGTATCAACATGCTTACCGTGGCCTTCTGGTGGATATAGGGTATTTCTCTGCCCCTTGACTTGGACTTAGCCACATAACTTTAGACAATAGGATGTTAATGGACATGACATAAGGAAACTTAAAATATGTCTGTGTAGTTGGACCTTTTCCTCTGTGAGAAAAACATTCTGCAGGTACCCACTACCTTTTTAACCTGGTTTCCCAGAAGGAGACAACTATACATCAGCCTGAAAGAAGAGCCTCTCCAGTGGGACATGGGAGCAAAAAATAAGTACTGTATTGTTTTGTGTTACTGAGATTTTATAAGTTTGTTACAAAGCAAAAGCTGACTAATAAATAGCATGAGACATTACTTATTTTGAATCAAAAAGTACATGACCCAGGGTTCTCTATAACTACGGAAATTGCTTGCTTTTCTCACCTAACCTAAGGACACAGTCTAAGAGAAGGTTTTCCTCCCAAGACACTGCTTTCCCTGAAGCTATAAATTTTTCAAGCAAAATAAACAAGCAAAACCTTAGAACAGGACAAATCCTTCAAATACTTTCTTTGTGTATGAGTAGCATTAAAATCCACGCATAGAGAAACTGTTTTAAAAATAAAACATTACTTCTACAGTGGGAAATGTCACTCAACATTCTTTACAGCAAAGACTCTTCTAGTAGGACATCAAAAATAATTCTAAAATTGAGGCATTTTTTTAAAGGTATCTTAAAAATAAGTTTTCTAGAATTATCACTTCGATAAAATCCTACCTTATTCTTGGAGTATGTCAATGAACTTTCTGAAATGAAAAAAGGAAGAATGTTATTACTTGAATGCTATCTGTGAATTACTCAGAAATAGTATAAATATCAAGCCAGTAATAAATTACTTTCATCGTTTCAGAAATAATTTCTACATGAATAATATAGCAAACATTTAAAATTTTCATCATTCCAGTATAGAGAATTAGATATGATTCCAAGATCCTCATCCCAACACAACATGCCAGAGCTAAAGAGGTGAGGCCAAGCTAATTTCTCCAGGGTCATCTCTTTCTGTGCAGACCCCAAGTGTCTAACCATGGCTGCCTTGCAAGGCCCACGTCACAGAAATTCATCCTGACAACAGTGAGAGGTGCTGTCTACCTACTACATTTTCTTCATTTGATAGCCTTACAGAAAAAGCTTTTAGATTTGAGGAGATAGCAACTGAATCAACAAAAAAGGAGCAAAAATGAGGATTTTAGATTAACTGGCCAAACATCCTATAACCAGACAAATAGCAAAATAGCTTCTCCATTCTTGTCTTTGGTTTCAATAACAAGAATATTTTTACTGGTCTGTTTCAACTTTTTTCTGGCACATTTACTAATAGTCTTCTTTTTCTCAGCAATTTGAAAAAGTCAAGAAAAATGCTTTTGCCACAAAATAAAGCCTTAACAAGTTCTTACCCCCATACTACAAAACACCAACCAATACTGTCAAGATTTCTTATGAACAGGTACTTTGTTCTTCTGAGAGCAGTCAAAGGGGCAAAAGAGCAGGCAATTATTTTAGTCAGCTACAAAGTTGCAAGAAGGCTAAGGAAGTAATTAAACTTCAATCATCCAGGCACCCTGAGGCTTATTCATTCCTTGTCTTCCATTCTTCCCTGGTTGTCGTGGATACCAAAACCTACCCCGGAAATCTTACAGCAGGTGGATCTTAGTTGAAGCCCACTTGTTCAACACAGAAGAGGATCTGATTAAGTCATAGCTTTCCATTTCACAGAGTGAACGGGAACTGTGGCCAATTCCTGGTCTTTGTTACTCTGACCAGGGAGAAATGCCTCAACCATATTTCTCATTGATCTGTGTTCTAATTTAAAGCAATATTTTCAGGTAAGCACTGAAAGTTGATGAATTTTAGAAGGTGAGAGGACAGCCCTCTACTCAACAGAAATATAATCAAAGCCAAATATGAGACACATGTGTACTTTGAACTTTTTTTCTAGTAGAGACATTAAAGAAACAGATAAAATATCACTTCAACATATAATGAGTATAAACAATTAATGATGTATTTTTACATTTTTTTCACATTGTCTTTGAAATCTAGTGTATATATTTCTACACATCTCAATTCAGACTAATTACATTTCAAGTGCTCAGTAGTTACTTGCAATCTACTGGCTATAGCACTGGACAGTGCAGATTTTGAGCCTAACAACTTCTGCTAGGGATCCACTACATACCTGTTTTTGTCCTTTCATGAAATATGTAACAGATTAACAGATTGATGAAAGATGCTGAGTACAAAAATGGATCTACTTCCAGACTCTCTGCCCCATCACTTGAATGAAATTTCAAAAGGCTTACCACCGAAGTACAGATACTTTTCTCTAGAAAACAGATTGTAACTATAATTTAAGGAATAACTGATGAATTTCAGGAGCCAGAGAAGATAATTCTTTACACACATATTAAGTTAAATAATAATGAGTTTCTTTCCTATAAAATCATAGTTCTAGAGATGAAAGAATTCAAAACCAGATTTCAAAGATTATGAAACTGAGTTTTCAATGATTTGATTAGGATATGTAATTAGTGTGTCTGTTGCTATGAATATCGAGAAAAAAGTCTTTGAGAGTTAAAATCTTTTCCATTTAAAAAATTCAAACATTACCTATCCTGTGTGTCCTTTGTGCACCTACATAAGTATCAAAAATTCGCTGCAATTCACACTTTCCAGTCATCTGTCGTAAGAGCCATTTCATCCAAAATCGAAAGAAGTGCCCATAGAAGAACTCCCACAGAGAAATAAACATTTTTTCCTGGAGAAGGAAATATACGATAGGTTTAACGACCTTAAAATGGATTTTAAAATAAAAAAAATTAGTTTATACAACTCAGCAAATCTCAAATTATGTTTTTCCATTGTGTTTATTTTGTAGTACTGTTTAGGGCTCTAAGAAAACAATGACAGGAGTAATATATACTATTTACATTAATTATAATGATGGTTGGTCAAGTGGTAAGTTTATTACTTTTTAAAAATTAACTGCAAAAATCAAAACACTTATTTAAATTGAAGCTCTCAGGTCCCTATTTTAATTTTTCATTCTTTCAGAATGGGGCTCGACAGTTTTAAGAACAAAAGGAACCCAGCTAAGCAACAATTAAACCAAATAAACCATGTATCAGAATTGCTTTTATAAAGAACAAGCTCTTCTTAAGGCCTATGGATAACTTCAGTTACATTTGTCCCACAGTCAGGTGATGCCCGCAAATAAAAACACTACATATGGGTTACAAATTGAAGTATACAAGTTAAACACCGAGCAGATCGCACCCTGCTTAACGGCTGATTTCCCCATTCAACAGGTGAAGGGCAGAAATACTATGAGTAATGACTACGCCGTCGATAAAAATGAATATGCCATAAGAAAAATCACCTCCTAAATGAAGAGGGCTGAAGAGAATGCAAGTGAGGAGGAGTTACTTAAAAATGCCCATCTTCTTCCTGCCTTAAACATTCGCACAGATACATCATCTCTGGACTAGGGCCTGAGATTGTCAGATTCGAAATCCCCGTAGGTCAGTGCAGAATCAGTGCAGAACAGAAAAGGGCCGAACAGTGACTTTAATTTACAATGAATCCATCTAGTCCGCGCTCATCAGGACAAAAGAAGCGTAACTACCAAGAGGGAAAACAAGCTTCGGGGCGCCAGAGCTCCCCAGACCTCGGGGAGTGTCTACGCCGAGCCCCGCTTCCGGAGCCCGGCAGAGCGCATCCCGCGCGCTGCCCACCAACGGGAGGAGCAGCTCGCACAATGGGGGTCAACCCCGGCGCCCCACGGATTTTCAGAGGGGCTCTAGGGCGTTCGCGTAACCCGCGCGCCCTCAGCGCAGCCGCACCGGAGCAGCGCGGGGTGAGAGGAAGAGAAACGGCAGCCACCTCACAGGAGCGGAAGAACTAGGAGGAGCTGGAGCTGCCTCGGTTTCTCCAACTGCAAACAGCCGGCAACGGAAACGACGCTCCGCACAGAAGGCACCCTGCACGCACCGTGACCCGGAAGTCAGGGAGCAAAGCCCGGTGAAAGCCCTCCCAGGGACACTGCCCGCCCCCACCCCATCTTAGTCCCCTCCTATTGGCCAGAGCTCCACCAATTGCTAACGCTGAAAGGAGGTTGGGCACAATTGCTCCGGCGCGCGTGCTCGGATTCTAGGGATGCCTGACAGTTTCCCTGGCAACGCCTACTTGGAGCCCCGCCCCGCGCCGAAGATTGGTCTCTCCTAGCGCTGCTCTGAAGCCTGCTCGTCTGAAACCTCTAGTCGTCTCGCAAGTTGAAACAGTGCTTTGCTCCCCTACTCCAAGCACGAAAGTAGCAGTGTGCTTTTGGTAACTTCCATAGCGTCAAGGTTACGAAAGAGGTTTCACTTACATTTAATCATAATTCTGTGAGGTAATTTTTAATAGTCCTACTTTATGGATGAGGAAACGCAAGTTACACTTAATGTCTTGCCCATGGCATATATGTGAAAGACAGGGAGAGCACATATGATGAGAAAAGAAGTTTGGACTTTGTCCTGTAATAAACATTAACAATTTACTCATCAAATATTTATATCTTAAATGGTTTTGTTTCTTGAAATGTAATTTATGTGCATGATTTTTTAGAAAATTCCAACTTCAAACAGTATATTCATTAATTCAGCAAATAATTGTTGATTGCCTATTATGCACCAGGCAGTGTTCCAAAAGTGAGTCATACAATAAACAAATATTTAGGATGTCAAGTGGGGCTAAAATAGGTATTAGTGTGTGTGTGTGGTGGAGGAAGTGGGTTGTTACAGTGTATCAGGGGTGTCTCCGTGTTCAGGTGACATTAGAGCAGTGGTCCTGAGTGAACTAAGAGAATGAACCGAAAGAATATCCGGAGGAAGAGTATTTCAGACACTAGAACTACAAGTGCAAAGGCCTTCAATCAGGAGCATACTTCGGAAGTTGGAGAAGTAGCAAGAAAGCTAGTGTGGCTGGGTAGAAAGAGCAAGGAGAGAGTAGAATACAAGTACAGAAGACAGAACACTGAAAAATAACTCCTACCCACCCCAGACTCCCAGCCCCCAGCCCTCTTTCTCAAAAGCAACCAGTATTAGTTTCTTGTCTGTATCTGTAGGAATAATCTATGCAAGTGTATATATGTATATTCCCTCCTTCCCCTTGTTAGCACAAAACAGCAATACACACTTTTTCACACCTCAACCAACATTTTTTTAAGGTGCTAACCGTAAACCACTAGACATGTTAAGTGTGTATAATAAGCCATCATCCCTGACCCATAGAAGCAACCAACAATCAACCTGGTAATGAAATCTGGACAAAAACTACAATAATAAAATCATAGAATCTTAGATCTTGAAGAGAACTGAAGGGTCCCCACCCATAAGATGGCGAACCTCCTGCTTCTCTTCCAGGTCTTCAGTTCCCGCCGGTGCCACCTGAAGCCCAATCACCTCTCGCCCCCCTCCCAATCCCAGCACCTAGCCAATAGCCACCAGCCCCATAGAAGTGACACCTCAATCAGCTAATGCCCCTTCCTATATAACCCAGCACCTTTCCCTAATAAAGTGGAATCCTCCGGTGAATTGCTACTGTGTCGCTCCTTCCTTTCAAGAACTTTACAGATCAGCTCACTGAATATTTCTTTTTGTACATAAAAATGTCATGGTAGGTAGTACTAGAATCACTATGAAGCTGAAGATGGAGAAGTAAGAAAGAACTATCCAATTACCTGAGTATGTAATTAGAATGGATGTGATGAAGGTCCTTTTCACTACCAGCTTAAAGCCAAGTATTTTTAAGGGACAGAGAAGTCTGTCGTTCATATAGTTTTAATTGGCCGTGCAAAATGGAAACCCTGAGAATTGTTCAAACCTTCCTTTGTAGTAAGTATCAGGCTTTGTCAGATTTTGGAAGGACACAGGAAATCTTATCTTTCATTAGGAAACGGTAGGAGCAGAAGCATTAGTCTCCACTAACATGTTCTATTAATACTGGGCAGCCCAGGTGAAAAAAGAGAAGGCTCTTGGAAATAACTATTAACTGTCATGATTCTAACAAGGAAGTGTCCTGATTTAAACAAGTGTGTGTTGTGCTAGGCATTGTGAAAACTGTGCGAGAGGTTCAATAAGCTGACAGAATTTTTTTGTGATACACTCAGCTTCTTGATCTCACTTTGAGAGAAGTCAAACAGAGTTTGCTTGTACATAAAAGGAATGTAAGATATGTTTATTTTATGGTCCTTCCCCAAGAAGCTCTCCAACTCACTGTCACAAGTTAGTGAGATGGGCCTTAGACATGATTACCATCAAAATTCATTCATTGTATTATTGACATTAAAATAATTTACCTCATAGAGGGAGAAACTCTAATGATTTGAGAGCTGTACTGGCACATATGACTAACTAGCTGACTGGTTAATCAATCCAGCTAATATTCAGAGCTTTGGGCAGTGAAATTTCTAAAAGTGACTTTGGGCCACAAAAAGTATTCTATAAAGGTAAATAACAAATTACTCTCCCTCCAGTACCCTGCCTATAAAAAGGAGGCACAAACACCTTGGAGGACAATTTGGAAGCTGTAAAAAATACGTAATTGGCAGTAGCCTGAGTATGATGCTGAAATCCTATGATTTTAACACATTCACAGGTAATTTTAGACGCTTCTGACTCCATAATGTATGTAAATTGGAGGCTTTGAATGAAATGATAATACTGCCACCTTGTGGTGACTACCGGGATTTCTGGCTAAAAAAATTGGCAGCTAGAGAGCTGGTTTGCCAGCAGGCTATTGGGCTCTCATGAAAACAGTTCCCCATAATATGAGAGTGGCAAATTATATTAAGATCTGAACTATATGATATGGTATGGATCATATCAGAAAGAGGTTATGATAAAGAGAAAGCTGCACAAAATTCTAAAAAAAAATGGAATTCATATCATGAGAGGGGTCTCTGAGGAGTTGTAACACACACAGACAAGCAGTTTAGGTTTAATTTGCAGCCCACTTCTAGTACTGCACAGTCTAAATCTCGTGACTCTCTTTCCACCAAAATAAAACAATTTCTTGCTCTATCCATGAGAGGTCCTGTGTAGTAGAACTCCAATATAAAAGTCAGTTCCTATTTGCTTTATGGACAGTAAAACCTAGTCAAAAAATGCAATAGTATATTTATGCAATAGGCTGAGTTGAGAGCGACTTGCAAGGAGGATTACATTGGGTCACAGATAGACCTTGGAGTTGTTCAGGAAGGGGAAGAGAACATTACTCTGGGCTAAAGAATGCATTCTACATTACACTGTGCAGAAATAGGCCCACAAAATCCCAACATGATGTGGCTATGTCATATTCCTTACCATTTATAAGATCATTAAATTAATATTAGAACCAGTGATTGCTGTAACAGAATGGCTGATGTCCTGCCATTCCCGAGAATTTAAGTGGTTAGAGTGATGCAAAAGCCATGCAAGAGTGGGTGGAATCATGATACATTTTGCTTATCTGTTACCCAAGCTGCTAATGTGGTTAAGAGACGTTAAATCCTAATAACAACAAAAAAGTTGCTATAAAAAGATGGCATTTGGAAAAATCTTCTGGGCACAAGGACCAAGTAAGTGATGAACTATATAGGATTACTATTTGCTGCCCCTAGAGGAGTCCAAGGAATTTGACATTCCTCTGTCTTGGACTAAAGCCTAAATACTGTCAAAGGCAATTTGGTTCCCTCTCATACATCTCTCTGGGCCAAAAAATGCATTCTACCTTACACTGTACAGAAATAGGCCCACAAAATCCCAACATGATGTGGCTATATCACATTCCTTACCATTTATAAGGTCATTAAATTAAATTAGAACTAGAACTAGTGATTGAAACATTGAACATACAGTCTAAAGGTATGGATAACTGGCTGGATCAGTTAGATGAATGTGTGCTTTGTTCAGATATGAAGGGTAGTAAAGGGAAAACAGTTTTGAAAGGGTTTTGGGTGTTGGAGATAGGTACAATTATGACACCAGTTCCAGTGTGTGTGTGGGGGGGGGAGTTCACATCACCAAGCAGTTCTCAGATACCAACTGTGTACGCTACAGTTCAACTCAATGCCGACACTGTCTAACTGTAGAAAGCATCAGATCCTACAGGTTATGGGCTCAGTCCTGCAATACTGCCCTACCCACCAACCCACTTCAGGAACAAATAGCAAAGTCCAGGTTGTCACCTATGCTTCTGATCTACCAGCTGTAGATCAGAGGTTCAGATGAACACCCTCCTTGGGTTTGATTGATTTGCTAGAGAGGCTCACAGAACTCAGAGAAGCATTTTACTTACTAGATTACTTGTTAATTATAAGAGGATATAACTTAGGAACAGCCAGAAGAAAGGGAGAGGGCAAAGTATGGGGCAAGGGCATAAAGTTTTCATGTCCACTCTGAGCTCGTCACTCTCCTGGAATCTCCAGCTGTTCACCACCCCAATAAAGGTAGCTCTCCAAACCTGGTCCATGTTGAGTTTTATGGAAGCTTCATTACATAGGTGTGATGGGTTACATCATTTGCTCTGGGGACTGAACTCAATCTCCAGCCGCTCTCCCTAGGTAGGGAGTTGGGACTGAAAGTTCCAATCCTCTAATCACATAGTCAGTTCCTCTGGCAACCTGTCCCTATCTTTAGGTGCTTTTCAAAAGTGACCTCATTAACATAAAAAAAGACATTTATCTTTTTTTGCAAGGACACTTTCATCATAAGAATTCTGAGGATTTTATCAGCTATGTGTCAGGACCTGGCTAAACACCAAACACACATTTCTTATCATAAATCCCAATATCACAATGGGCAAGATGAAGTGGAGGTTGGTGCTCTCCTAGAACT